AGCATGTGGTATGGGGCAGCAGGTGGCTTGTGGGCCAGCAGGGAGAAGGACTTGTGTTCCACATAGGTGGAGAGGGCCTGGGCCAGGGGTAGGGTGGGATCCCGGGCTGGGTCTTTTCACTTCATCCCAGCATCTTGAGGAGCTCTGGTGTGCATCAAACTGCCCAGAAGTCAGGAGCAGGCAGGAGCCCAGGGCAGGAATGCGGGCTGTGTCACCTCTGCCCAGGCGTGGCTCTGACTCACCTTGGGCGCAGTCTTGAATGAGCATCCTGACAGGCAGATACAAACCAAGTGCCAAGGTACAACGGTCTGCCAACCCTGTCCCGTGGAGCCTGCTGTCTGCTGGGGGTGACGAAGCAGGCACCTGGGATTCAGTGTGCCATACACAGTGTGTTATAGGGGCTTGTAGTTCAGCTCCTGTCTCTGCTCTGGGGTCAAGGAAGGTTTCCCGGTGGAAACAGTGTCTGCAGCCTGAAGGATGAATAGGACCTGGCCTCATGAAAAGCGTGAGAAGTTGTCCCCAGGAAGGGGTACAGCCTGGCCAAAGACCTGGAAGCAAAGCAAGAAGAGCACGTTGGAGGCCCTGGCTCAAGCACAGACTGTCGAGAGAGGTGGCAGGAGCCAAGGTCTGCAGGGACTTGTGGACAGGGCAGGGAGTTTAGACTTTGTCCTAAGACAGCTCAGAGAACTGACTCGCCTGGAGACTCAGTTTGGGCCTGTCTTGCCCTTGGGTGACAGACACATGACCTTTGACTCCCCTCTTCCTAGTGCTGAGCTTGTGGGGCCTGCCCAGGCTCTAAGAGTGGGAGCTTGGAGCATTAGCCTACAAGGGCAGGGACCCTTGGGTCACCCCCAGGTCAGAGCTGAGCCCCTGCAGCTGCTGAGATCAACTTGGCATCTCCTCCCTGGCCTGTGTGACCTCGACTCACAACAGTCTTGTTTCTCAAATGGACACACTGATTGCCCCAAGCAGACAGGTGAGTGGCCCTGGTCCTGCAGTGGCTACAGTCTGGCCCCTTGCCCTGTGGTGATAGCTCACTGGCTTCTCCTGGGGTCGGTCCGCTAGTGTTGGGTGTGCGGCTGGGCTGCCGATGTCCCTTGGGGAGCAGTGTGTATTTGAGCTGACATCCCGGGAGAGCTGGTGTCACCATCAGCACTGAATACCCAAAGGCCTTTCCAGCACCTTCCCCTCATGTGTCTGCAAAACATATATGTGGGGTCAGCACGGTTTTTTGTGTTTTTTCTTGGTGCACACTGCTTTCTTCTATAGAGAGCAAGTGCTTTTCACCATAGAACTTCCTGAAAGCCTGCTAGGTCCCAGGCTTTGGTCTTGACTGTTGCCTTGTCTTTGGCCCAGGGGTACCTGTGGGTCTGGTCAAGGACTGGTTGCTGCAGAGAGGAGCCTGGAGGAAGGGAAAAGTGAATAGAGCGTGACAGTCAAACAGACTGACAGGGCGGACTGCAGTGTTTGGGGCCCCGTGGTAACTGTGGGTTTCCTTTTGCAGTGTTCCTGCATCCGTTGTCAGAGGCCCTGCAGCTCGTCCCAGGGCTGAGCTGCTGGCAGGAGTTCCTCGTTACATCCTCTTCCCTGCAACCTCAGGGACTAGGCCCACAGGTCAGCAGCCTTTGGAGGTGTCTTCCTTCCTCTTCCTCACTGTGAGGAAGGGCAGTTTGATTTCTACCTGAGGGACAGGGCAGTGGGGGTGGGGTAGAAGAAATGAGAGGAAGTGGTGCAGTCCTGACCCCGAGTTGCAGGCTGGGAGGAGCCCATGGGGTCTGAGAGCTGGAGGCACCACCAGCAGCAACTGAGCCTGGGTTGGGGTTGCAGGAGCCAGAGAGTCCCCAGATCGGGGACTAGAGTGGCCAGTGCAGGAGGAAGTGTTTCAGGCCTCCCTGCAGGTAGACCTCACACATCTGCTGACCCTCTGTGGTGAGACCCTTCCCTGCCCTCCCTTCCTGGAGGGTCAAGGGTCTCAGCCATATTTGGGGAGAATGGGAGAGAGTACCTGCCAAAGGTTCAGGCAGGGGTAAGGGGCTTCCCAGTGCCAGTGAGAAGGGATATCTGTGTCTAGAAAATCCTTGCCTGGAGGTGGTGTGGAGTGTGCTGTGGAAGGGAGGTGTATGAAGAGGGGTCTGGGGTCTTAGTGTGATGTCTTGGGGGGTTCCAGTCTTGGCTCTGCAACATAATGAATGTGTGACTGTGGGCAACTTACTTGGCCCCTCTGAGCCTCATCTAGCTAACCTGTAAATAGAGGTTAAAATCGCAACACCTGCCTTATAAGGTCATGGTGGGAATTTAAAGGATACAAAGCATGTAGGATCTGCCTGGCACGGGTGTACCATCACCATCATCATTACTCCTATCACTACTTAGTGCCCTGCTGCCTAGGTGTGCCCCTTCACCCTTCCTCCTAGGCTGCCAGTATCTTCCACTCTTCTCCCCACTCCCAGCCAATGACCTTTCTTCTCTGAGGGTTCCAGGCCTGAGTGTCCATGCCCCTGGCACCCTTAGATCTTCAGTGAGGGTGACAGAGAGGCCTCTGCAGCAAGAAGCTTCTGGGGTGATTCAGCCTTCCCCAAACCAGGCCCCTTGATTTCTTCAAAGCAAGTCCATTTCAGCTTCAGAGGCTGCTGTGGTGTCTTGAATGATGGCCCTCCTTGATGTGCAGGGTGGGAGTGGGAGGCTTCCCAGCTGAGCCCAGCTCCTCCAGGGCTGACCATACAGCTGTGGGTAAGCCCCTGTAAGACCTGCGTCTGGCCTCTGGCCCCTGCCCTGGGCAGAAGCAGGCTTGTCCTGGAGCCGCAGACCCCGCCTCATCTCCTTCTGTAAGAGGTGCTGAGCAGCCATCCCCATGGAGGGGGCGCAACCCTCCATCAGGTTCACACTGGCACGTGCATCCAGGCCCACCTGCCACGTGGACCTTCCCTTGCTCCAGGCCTCAAGCCAGTGCTGTGGCTCACAAGGCGACAGGGCTGTGATGAAGGGAGGCGTGAGTGTGTGTGAGCGCCCACTGGAGGGGCTCGCAGCCCCCTGGAGGCACGTGGGCCTGCCAGGCTGGCGCACATTCTTCCTTCCTCTGTCTTGCTTCTACAGACACGCACTTCTAGTTCTGTGGGCTTGATGTTCCCTCGGAGAGGCGGAGCCAGACAGTCCTATCCTGCAGCTTCATGGTGGTGCCCAGGGTGATTTTTAGTGTAGGGGTTAGGTTTTGGGTTCCTGCTCTGACTTAGGTTGACTGTCAGAGAATGCGGGTTTAAAAGCTAGAGAAAGGTGGTTTCTCCAGCCCCCAGCTCTCCACTTCTTGTCCAAATCCCCCCACTCCCCTCTCACTGGGGGTCAGGGTGACTTGGATGCCATCCTAGTCTCTGTGCCTCTCCCTCCTCCAGCTTCATGTATGAAAAGACAAAGGCTGCACACGAGGAGGGTCTCTTTTACTCTCTTCAAGGCCCAAGGACTGAGGAAGGAAATGGAGGAGGAAGTTACTCCCCTTCTGGGTGCTGGGTGAAAGTGAAAGATAGGGAGGGGGCCCTCAGTGAGTCACGCAGGCGGACAGGAGGCAGGCAGGCTCCAGGAGCGCAGGGGCTGGGGAGCTGCGGAAGCCTGCAGAGGAGTGATAGCCTGGGAGGGGCATTCCCGGTGCTGGGGGCGGGCCGAACTGTGAACTGGGTGTAGTCAGGACTCTGTGCCCGCCCAGCCCTGCCCTCCGCTGCTCCTGGCTGGTTTCCTGGGAGCTGCTGGGGTTGCTAACAATGACCTGCAGCATCTAGGGCCTGAGATTTCCTCTTGAGAGCCACCCGAGCTGTCTTCCCTTCTTCTCAGGGACCAGAATCTTACTAGGGAAAGAGGTGGGCCATTTAGCTCCCACCCCCACCAACTTCCCAGGAAAAAAACAGAACCCAAACAGCACTCTGAGGGAATAAAAAGTCTTTAAAAATACATGAAGCAGCTATGTAAGTTGTAAAATACGGGTCTAGATTCTGTTCTGTAGCGACTGTTTTAAAAAATCAAGTTACGAAACAAAAACAGAAAAACTGTACTTTAGTCATGACATTATCATGGAGAAACCTTCTGGAACTGAGTTCTAGCAATACACACCCTCTACGATCTGAGTTTACGCTATTTGCCGGGGCTCTTTGGCGGTGGAAGGGGCAGGGGTCAGGCAGGGGCGGGGTCAGCGGCTGACCAGCTCTTGGCCTGGATCCTGCCTCCACCCTGCTAGGGTTGCAAAACAGGTTCTGTGCTGGTTTGGGAAAGACTGGCAGCGAGAACCCCACCCAGCAGCTCTTCCCAGGGGTGGGGCTAGGACTGCACACACCCTTCTGGGGCCTTACCTGCAGGCCTTGGTGAGCCTGACCCTGGGCCCCTGACTTTACAAGGGCCTGTTGGGGCTCCTGGCCCTGGGGCTGCACAGGAGGAGTGGCCATGTCGGGAATGACCCTGTCCTCTCCACTTCCTGAGCCTGAGCTGTGCTTGGAGTGTCAGAGGAGGCACTGGCTGGACAAAGATCCTTCTGGGTCTGGTGGGAGGCTCCTGCATAGACGGATGTGTGCCAGGAGGACTAGGCCTGGCTGCCCAGGGGGCTGGGGCCTGGGTAAGAGGAGAGGGGAGCCAATGTGGCTTTTGCTGCTCCTTTCTCAGCTGGGCTGGAGGGGCTTGGGCTGGATGTCAGCTCCACTTGTCCCTTAGAATGTGCCTATGCAGTGCACAAATAACACAGCCAGATGCAGGCAGTCCTGGAGCTGAACCAGGAGGGTGAGGTGGTGGGACAGGAGAGTCACGGTGCCCTGGGAGATGCAGCTGATTCTCCTGCCCTCCTGGCAGCTCCCCAGAAGGTCTTGGCTCCTGCCTCACCAATGCTGCTCTGTGACTTGGGGCCTGTTCCTGTGATATGAGGTGGTGAGACCGATGGCCCTTGGAGGCCCCTTTTCTTACACTTGTGCTGATGTTTGGGGCATCCTGGGACGCTGTGGCTGACACTGTCACTGCTCTTCCCTCTGCAGGTGCCAGGACCCTGTGGAGCATCATGAACTGGGAAGAGTAGCTGAGCCCCAGAGCCTCTCTGGAAGAGAAAGGAAGAGCCAGCAGTTCTTTCTCCCAGTGCCCGACCTCATCGTCCAGCGTCTTCCTCTGCCCCTGCTCTGCCCTCCCTGGCTCCTGGACTAGAGTCCAGCTTCCAGCAGGACGTTTCCCCAGGGGATGGGTGACTGTTGAACGGGATCTCACCGCCAGGGCTCAGTTGGCCACATCATGAACCTCCAGGCCCAGCCCAAGGCTCAGAACAAGCGGAAGCGTTGCCTCTTCGGGGGCCAGGAACCAGCTCCCAAGGAGCAGCCCCCTCCCCTGCAGCCCCCCCAGCAGTCCCTCAGAGTGAAGGAGGAGCAGTACGTAGGGCACGAGGGTCCAGGAGGGGCAGTCTCCACCTCTCAGCCTGTGGAACTGCCCCCTCCCAGCAGTCTGGCCCTGCTGAACTCTGTGGTGTATGGGCCTGAGCGGACCTCAGCAGCCATGTTGTCCCAGCAGGTAGCCTCAGTAAAGTGGCCCAACTCTGTGATGGCTCCAGGGCGGGGCCCGGAGCGTGGAGGAGGTGGGGGTGTCAGTGACAGCAGCTGGCAGCAGCAGCCAGGCCAGCCTCCACCCCATTCAACATGGAACTGCCACAGTCTGTCCCTCTACAGTGCACCCAAGGGGAACCCGCATCCTGGAGTGGGAGTCGCGACTTACTATAACCACCCTGAGGCACTGAAGCGGGAGAAAGCGGGGGGCCCACAGCTGGACCGCTATGGAAATGTGCGGCCAGTGATGCCACAGAAGGTGCAGCTGGAGGTAGGGCGGCCCCAGGCACCCCTGAATTCTTTCCATGCAGCCAAGAAACCCCCAAACCAGTCACTGCCCCTGCAACCCTTCCAGCTGGCATTCGGCCACCAGGTGAACCGGCAGGTCTTCCGGCAGGGCCCACCGCCCCCAAACCCGGTGGCTGCCTTCCCTCCGCAGAAGCAGCAGCAGCAGCAACCGCAACAGCAGCAGCAGCAGCAGCAGCAGGCAGCCCTACCCCAGATGCCGCTCTTTGAGAACTTCTACCCCATGCAACAGCCACCCTCGCAGCAACCCCAGGACTTTGGCCTGCAGCCGGCTGGGCCACTGGGACAGTCACACCTGGCTCACCACAGCATGGCACCCTACCCCTTCCCCCCCAACCCAGATATGAACCCAGAACTGCGCAAGGCCCTCCTGCAGGAGTCAGCCCCACAGCCGGCGCTACCTCAGGTCCAGATCCCCTTCCCCCGCCGCTCCCGCCGCCTCTCTAAGGAGGGTATCCTGCCTCCCACCACCCTGGATGGGGCTGGCACCCAACCTGGGCAGGAGCTCACTGGCAACCTGTTCCTACATCACTGGCCCCTGCAGCAGCCGCCACCTGGCTCCCTGAGGCAGCCCCATCCTGAAGCTCTGGGATTCCCGCTGGAGCTGAGGGAGTCACAGCTACTGCCTGATGGAGAGAGACTAGCACCCAATGGCCGGGAGCGAGAGGCTCTTGCCATGGGCAGCGAGGAGGGCATGAGGGCAGTGAGCACAGGGGACTGTGGGCAGGTGCTACGGGGCGGGGTAATCCAGAGCACGCGACGGAGGCGCCGGGCATCGCAGGAGGCCAATTTGCTGACCCTGGCCCAGAAGGCGGTGGAGCTGGCCTCGCTGCAGAATGCAAAGGTGAGAGGGGCATACGGTGGAGCCAGACCTGGCAGAGGGCATCAGGCTAATAGGTGAGAGGCTGCTTGCCTAGAGACAGCCAATCTTTGCCGTAGCCAGCTGCTTGTGGGGAAATAGTACAAAGACCACCTTTCACCTTGTAACAGAGTTCTTGCTTACTTTCTTTTGCAGAAATGTTTTTTGAATAATTAGATACTATTTTGTGTGCCACCCACTGTGCAGGCCAAACAAAACCCATCCGTAAGCCACCTGTGGCAAGAGATGGCCATCTGGGGGCCCTTGGTCCAGGCCAGGGTGGAAGGGCCTGGAAGAAAGCAGGTTATGGAGAGTATTTGTTATTTATTTATTTATTGAGACAGAGTCTTACTCCGTCACCCAGGCTAGCGTGCAGTGGCGCGATCTCAGCTCACTGCAACCTCCACCTCCTGGGTTCAATCGATTCTCCTGCCTCAGCCTCCCCAGTAGTTGGGATTGCAGGTGCCCACCACCACACCCAGCATATTTTTGTTATTTAGTAGAGACGGAGTTTCGCCATGTTGGCCAGGCTGGTCTCAAACTCCTGACCTCAGGTGATCCACCCACCTCAGCCTCCCAAAGTGCTGGGATTATAGGCATGAGCCACTGCGCCCAGCCTCACATTGCTCTTTTCTATAGAAAGTGCTTCTGGCTGGGCGCAGTGGCTCACACCTGTAATCCTAGCACTTTGGGGGGACTGAGGCAGGCAGATCACGAGGTTAGGAGTTCGAGACCAGCCTGACCAACATGGTGAAACCCTATCTCTACTAAAAATACAAAAATTAGCCAGGCATGGTGGGGGGGCACCTGTAATCCCAGCTACTTGGGGAGGCTGAGGCGGGAGAATCGCTTGAACCTGGGAGGCGGAGGTTGCAGTGAGCTGAGATCATGCCACTGCACTCCAGCCCGGGTGACAGAGCAAGACTCCATCTCAAAAAAAAAAAGGGCTTCTCACCATAAAACTTCCTGAAAGCCTGCTAGGTTCCAGGCCTTGGTATTGACTGTTGCCTTGTCCTTGGCCCAGGGGTACCAAGGATTGGAGAGTATTTAGAAGTGTGGTCAAGTATTGGAGATTATTTAGAAGTGTGGTAGGAAGCCGGGTGCAGTGGCTCACGCCTGTAATCCCAGCACTTCGGGAGACCAAGATGGGTGGATCACTTGAGGTCAGGAGTTCGAGACCAGCCTGGCCAACACAGCAAAACCCCATCTCTACCAAAAAACACAAAAATTAGCTGGTCGTGTTGCTGTACATCTGTAATCCCAGCTACTGGGGAGGCTGAGGCGGGAGAATCGTTTGAACCCGGGAGGCAGAGGTTGTAGTGAGCCAAGATCGTGCCACTGTACTACAACCTGGGTGACAGAGTGAGACCACCTGTCTCCAAAAAAAAAAGTGATAGGAGAAAAGGTGGTCAGGGAAAGGCCAACTTGTGAGACCACTGGGGGGCACTGCGGGTGTTTGAGTCCTGTAACTAAATGGGAATAAGGTCCTAGATCAAATCAGAATTCATCTTTTATTTGTTTATTTATTACTGAGACAGGGTCTCACTCTGTCACCCAGGCTGGAGTGCAGTGGTGCGATCTCGGCTCACTGCAGCCTCAACTTCCTGGGCTCAGGCAATCCTCCCACCTCCGCCTCCCGAGTAGCTGGGACCACAGGAGTTTGCCACCATGCCCAGCTAATTTTGTTTTATTTTCTGTAGAGACAAAGTGTCACTATGTTACCCAGGCTGGTCTTGAACTTGTGGCCTCAATTGATCCTTTCATCTTGTCCTCCCAAAGTGCAGGAATTATAGGTGTGAGCCACTACGCCTGGCTATGATTTATCTTTTAAATTGCACTCTGTTCCCATCTTATCCAGGATGGCAGTGGCTCTGAAGAGAAGCGGAAAAGCGTATTGGCCTCAACTGCCAAGGGTGGGGTGGAGTTTTCTGAGCCTTCCTTAGCCACCAAGCGAGCACGAGAAGACAGTGGGATGGTACCCCTCATCATCCCAGTGTCTGTGCCTGTGCGGACTGTGGACCCAACTGAGGCAGCCCAGACTGGAGGTGTTGATGAGGACGGGAAGGGTCCTGAACAGAACCCTGCTGAGCACAAGCCATCAGTCATCGTCACCCGCAGGCGGTCCACCCGAATCCCTGGGACAGATGCTCCAGCTCAGGTATGAGAGGCGCCCCTTCTAAACATCTCCAGCACCTGAGTGCTCCTGGGGCCCAGGACCCTATGGGGAAAGGAGAACATGGCAATGTAGGAAGGTATCAGGGAACTTGTGGAGATACTGTTTTTATTTTCCAAACCAAACTTCTGGACAGATGTCCGGAAGGGGCATTTGGGGATGTCCCCCATCCTCATGGGGGATGAGATGGTTTTATACTTGAAATTGAAACTGCCTGGGAAATTCTAGGATGTATACATCTGTTTTTCTAGATAGCAAATTTTGATTTGGCCTGTACTGGGTGTTGGGAATTAGAGATGTTTGCTTATACTGTCACTACTGAGATCTTGACATCTCCTCCTTTTTTTTTTCCTTTTTTGAGACAGAGTCTCACTCTGTCACCCAGGCGGGAGTGCAGTGGCACCATCTCCACTCACTGCAACCTCTGCCTCCTGGGTTCACACCATTCTCCTGCCTCAGCCTCCCGAGTAGCTGGGACTACAGG